CCTTCTTTCCCCCCCCCCAGGCCAAGAGACCCCACCCCAAACACAGTCTGAGCTGGTCAGTCCTGGGATGGGACACGACCAGGAAACCCGTGGCGTTTAAGTGAAACTAGGGGTCAATGAGGAAGGTTCAGTTACACGATGTCTCCTTTAATGACCACGTGCGTGGTTGGTCCCAATTGCTTTATTAAGCGAAGACTAAGTCTGTTGCAATCCTAACGTTGGCAGAGAAGCCCCCCGATGCCTCCCAACCGAGGCTCCACGCGGGGCCCTGAGGAGGGGTCTCCAGCAGAGGTGGCCCAGCAGGGCAACGGCAGGACTTCCGCTCCCAGAATTCCTGAGCCAGCTGAGCCCACCTGCCCACCCTGGCCTTGAGGAAGCAACAGCCTCACACCTGCCCACCCAGGTGATTCACGAGCCCAGCAGCCACATCCGCAGGCCGGCCAGGCAAGGCGGCTGGGCTGGACGCCTCCTCCGCGGGCTTATCTCGTTTGCTGAAGGGGGCCGTTCCAAGGGTGCCACCGCCGGCCGTGCCCGGCCCACTGATAAGCCTCCCGGGTTGTTCTCACCTGAGCCCGAAACCGGTTTCCTGATAAGCCCCTCTGCTCCCTCGGGCACAAAAGCCGCTCCTGCTTCCTTCCCCCCCCCCCTTGGGGACTTCCAGGGCTGCCTTTTCGGGACAAGCAGGTGACAGAACGAGAGGGGGTGAAAGGCCGTGCCAGGCAGGAGGCCCTGGGGCTGCCCCACTGGGTGAAAGGCCAGCCTCACCCACAGCCAGCACAGTCCTGCCCGAGGCCGAAGGGCTCCTGTCCCCTGGCACGACCATCCGGTCGCTGGGCCGGCTGAGCCAGAGGCAGAGGGGGGGCAGAGGAGGGGGGGCGAGACCAAGTACGGGCACGGCTGAGTCCCATCCTCTGACGTGTAGGTGTACAATAACCCATAGTGTGTGGCTGTAGTATTACTTATCCTTCTATCACCTTCTTCCGCTTCTCCTGGTGGTGCCCTTTTGGCATTGTTGTTGTAGTTCTTGTTGCTGGTTACTATTATTATCATTACCATTCGTATTATTCTGCAATTAGTCTTTCTGTACCAGACAACAGATTCCCTGCGTGTCTACCTACACTTGGCCCAATAAAGCTTTTCTCTTCTGTATTCTAGAATAAAGATGTCCTGACCACGAGAACAGCAAACAGGGGCTTCCCTCCAGACGTTGTGGCTGCTCCAACACCAGGAGCTTTTCAAGGAGAGGCTGGACAGCCATTTGTCTGGGGTGGCTTAGGGTTTCCTGACTGAGCAAGGGGTTGGACTAGAAGACCTCCAAGGTCCCTTCCCTTCCCTTCCCATACTTCTGTTCTGTTCTCATTCCTATTCTATTCTATCATTCTGTTCTGTTCCGTTCTACCCCACCCCATTCCATTCCTAGCCTGGGCCACGGCTGCTCCCCCACCCGCCAGCCGTGGCCCCAAGAGGAAGCAGGACCACCAGGGCAAGGCGGCCCCCCCCCCACCTTGCCCCCCCCACCCCCCACCAGACTCCTACCTCCTGGGGGTCCACCATGCAGTAGTGGTAGAGGTACTGGTTGTAGGACGCTCCCCCGGTGTAGACCTGGTTGCACAAGGCCAGCAAGGGGTTGGCCGAGTAGTAGCTGCTCCCCATCTGGGCCTGGGGGTTGACCCCCACGATGTAGACGATGGAGGCAATCAGCATGACGAAGGCCAGCAGGGCGCAGACCACCAGGGCCACCAGGTAGAACCGCCTGGACCGGGCCGCACCGGACTTGGTGAGGCTGACGACAGCCAGAGCCAGCAGGGCGATAAAGCACAGCACCGACATGGCGAGCATGAAGCCGCTGGCTGCCCGGGGGTTGGTCATGCCCCCGTAGTAGCCCCCCATGCCATAGCCGCCGTAGTAGCCGCCCAGGCCTCCGCCGTAGCCCCCCATGCCGCCGTAGCCCCCCATGCCGTAGTAGCCGCCGCCTATGCCTCCGCCGTAGAGGCCCCCGTAGCCGTAGTCCCAGGCCAGGGTGGAGGCCACGCAGGCGAAGATGGCCACGCAGAGCAGGACGCCCAGCCCCTCCAGGACCCTCACCACGCTGGGCGGGGAGGTCCACTTGTAGAAAAGCTGGGGCTCGTCCTCGATGTAGTAGGAACCCGGCGGGGGCAACTTGACGGGGTACCCGTAGTCCTCCCCGGGGGGTCCGTACCCAGCGGGAGGGCTGTCGTAGGGCTTCGGGCTAAACATCCTCGGCGCAGAAGCGAGGCAGGGCCGGCGGAGGAGCCCCAGGGGCTACAGCTGGAGGGGGGAGGACCCAAGGGGGGAGCCCCTTTGAGATCCCTGGAGCGGCCGAGAGGCTCCTGCGCTGCGTCTGGCTGGCACTGCCAAAGAGAGGGGAAAGTGAAAGTCAGTGTCCTCCCCGCGGCACTTGGGCAATTCTTGCACCCCCCCCCCCCCGCCCAGTGGCGGTTGAGGGAAAGCGACCGTCTCCTGCAGCGGAAGTCACGGGGGAGGGGAGGAGAGTCAACCAAGACCACTCCACCTCCCCCCTCCCCTGAGTGCCCAGGAGAGCCGAGGATCTGAGGACCACCCGGGCACCGGAACCATCCACTGGCCCAGGCCAGGCATTTCTTCCTACGTTGTTGGCCCATCTAACGGTTGTGAAAAAGAGGGGCAGCTGGAGGGAGACACCCATCCCTGGGTGGCTGTGGGGTTATACCCTTCCCTGGGTTTCAGCCAAGAGGGCAGAGATGCCCCCCCCCTATGCTGCCAAATAAGAGAGGCTCCTTCAAGTTGACCTTGGCTCCGGTAACCTCCCGGCCTCACTCTGGGTTTGCTGGACTTCCTGGGTGAGTCTACGGCCCCGGGGCGACTGCCCGGCTCCCAGTCAAGCTCCAAAAGCGAGCAGATAAACAGATAACAGGTAATCAGGGTTGGAAGGGACCTTGTAGGTCATCTAGTCCAACCGCCTGCCCAAGCAGGAGACCCTACACCATTTCTGACAGGTGGGAGTCCAGGCTCTTCTTGGATCCCCGATATTTAACCCCGAGAACAGGAGGAAGCGTCCCAAAGACCCACCGGAGGGCAGGTGGGACCCAGCTGCTCTTCCCTGCTGCCAAAAACCCGCTTCCCTCTCATGCAGGGGGTCCCCAACCTTGGCGCCTTTAAGATGTGTGAACTTCAATTCCCAGCTTTGCTGGCTGAGGAATTCTGGGAGTTGAAGTCCACTAGTCTTAAAGGGGCCAAGGATGGGGACCTCTGCTCTAATGGCTTCCGGATGTTTTTCCCCAGCAGAGGGAATCCAACCGTCAGAATCTGATGACAACATTACAAATGGATCTCCATTCGAGTCTATTAGATCTACGGCCGACCTCAGGCCTGCGGCTGCTTGCCCAGTGTTTATAAACTCTGGATTGCAAACAGCCTCGCTGGCTGTCACCTACTTGTCACACGGCTGTCAAAGGTCAGTTTGTAATGTTGTCGATGCTGTCATTTGGAGGGCTGAGCACCCCCTGGCCGCCCGAGACTCTGGGATCTGCTGCCCCCTTCGTCTTCCTGAACTGGAGAAAGGGGGGGATGTATTACAGTTGCAGATGAGACCAGGGGGGGGGGGGGCTAGACTTTGAGATTGGTGTTTCTTGGCCACTTTAAGATGTAGGAGCTTGACTTCCGGTGGCGTTTCCGTCAATGATGGATCAGAAACCGTGATCGTGCGCGGCTTTGATCCGTGTTTCCCTTGTTGGAAGGGTCCCCATGGAACCGGAGTCATCTGACCCTCCTTGGAGGGGTGGGAGAAGAGGGGGAGACCACCAGCTGGGTCGAGGGGAACCGCATCTCCCCTCCCTAGCTAGGTATTACTCCCCTGGAAGACAGGGAGAAACGGCAGTCTAAATTGGCTGCCCTGAAAACGGAAAGCTGCCGGGACCCTAAGTTTTGTGCTGGAGCGGTGAAGTGGTGAGCTACATATAACCAGATAAAAGAACTGATTTTTTTCTTAACAACCCCGAGAAGTTGAAAGAAAGTGCCCTCGTGAAAGAGTATCACAGCGGCAAACAGAAAAGAGGAAAATACAAGGTAAACAAAATTTTATGGAAATTTACTGGACTCATAACTGTTATGAAACAAAAGATAAATAAAATAATAAGAACCCCAGAAATGTAAAAAAAAAAAAAAAAAAAGAGGGAGAAACTACTAAGAGGATATACAAATGCAATTTCCTGGGACCGTTGGGTGTTGATTGTGAAAGAGACAGAAGGATTAACAAGAGAAACAAAGGTAAAAGGAGACTTTTGGCAAAGATTGCAATAAAAGACTTTGAATATTAATAACTGATTATAAAAAAATGGAAGAAATAAGCAAAGACTTTAATTGGAATTGCAAACCGTAAGAGGAATGCTGAAAGAAAGAAGGGAATTATTGGAAATATTGGAAAAGAAAATAATGGCGATGCCAGAAGAACAAAGAAATTCCAGTGAGGCAGAGCTAAAGGAAGAAGAAAGAGGCTCAAATAGTCACGGAGAACAAGAGACACTGCCAAAAGACACTAAAGGAATTAAAACTATGACATTGATGATAGAGTCAATAAATAAAAGAGAAAACGCTTCCAGGATTAAACAATAGAAGAAAAAATTATACAAAAAGAAACTTCGAAAAAGAAAACAGGAAAGGGGGGGGGAGAAGATAGATGAAATGTTAGAAAGAAAGAAGGAAGATCGGGGAAATTTAGAAAAGGGAAAGTTGGCTATAATTAAAAGAAATAATAAAGTCAAAAAGTTCAGAGATAAGGGTTAGGGATTCTATAAGGGGGATACCACATGGAATATATATTGGTATTTAGTTTAAAACTTGTTAGGAAATACCTTGGGAATGTATAATTACATATATATATATGAATATGAACTGTATATAAAATGTGTTGTTATGAACCCTTTTCTTTCTTTGAGGCTTAAAATAAGGGAATGGAAATGAATTTTAAAAATATGATTATTAATGATTATAAATGAAGATAAAATGAGAGATATTAAGAAGTTATTTTAGTGATTCACTGGGGGGATATATAGTTGACTGTATATACAGTTGATTATTTAATGGATATTAGAATTGTACAACGAGAATATTTTATTCAGTGAATATTTTATTCACGTGGAAAATGCCATGTGGATCTGAAATATTGGTTTTATTATATTTTTACTCTTTTTAGATTGTTTATTATATATTGGCTTAGAGAAAATTAAGGACAACAATGATGTGTAATGTAAAATAAAATAGGTGGTAAGCTGAAAATGGAAATAATAGGGGATAAAGAATTGGAAACGTATGGATGAAATTATATTGATATTGAATTAATGAACTGAAATATGAATTGCAAATTTATTTAAAGATGAGTGAAATGGATAATAATATGAGTTAATATTATATAAGATTAATGGAAATGAAAATATGACTATGAACAAGTGTTATAATCTGGAAACATGTTGATCACATGGAAAGATGCATAAAATTAAAAAAAAACAAAAAACTTTTTACAAAATAAAAAGATGTGGGAGCTTCTCTCTGACCCCATCAACCCTCTCCAGGGTGCCACTGGGGGTGGGGGTGGGGTGGTGGCTGCTGAAAAGCATTGCCCTCACTGGGGGCACAAGATCTGCCCTGGGCTGCTGCCCCCACAGGGTGGGCACCAAGGTGGCGCAGAAGAGGCCAGAGGACCCTTCTCGGTGAAACCTGCCTGGAGCTGCTGCTGGTGGTCAGAGGTGGCTGAAATGCCCAGCAAGCACAGCCTCTGATCCCTGGGTCTCTCGGCTGCCCTGCATCCCCTCCCCCCCCCCGGGACTGGGGGAGGGGCCACCTGGCAAAACGCACCCGGGTCCCTCCAACCAAAGCCGGTGTGCCCACCGGGAAGCCCTAACTGGGATGGGGGGACCCAGAGGCTCCTCCTGGGGGGCTGCCCAGATTATGCCGGCTCCTCTTATTTTGGGGGATGCCAGACTCGAAGGGAAGGCTGTGATTTGGTCGGGGGGGGGGCATGGTAGCAGAATTCCAGTCTTGGAGGGGCTGCCCCAGAGAAGGGGGGGCCAAGCTACTCTCCAAAGCACCAAAAGGCCAGACAAGGAGCAACAGATAGAAACTCATCCAGGGCAGAAGCAACCTGGAACTCAGGAGGAACTTCCTGACAGGGAGGACAGTGAACCAGGGGAACAGCCTGCCACCAGAAGTTGTGGTTGCTCCATCCCTTGATGTCTTTAAGAAGAGTCTAGACCGCCACTTGTCTGAAAGGGTATAAAAGGTCTCCTGCTTGAGCAGGGGGCTGGACTAGAAGACCTCCAGGGTCCCTTCCAGCTCTATTCCAATTTGATTGATTGATTTGAGTAGGCAAGGAGGAGGAGGAAGGTGGGTGGGTGCAAATCCCTGCCCTCAATTCCCCTTCCCTGATTGGAAGAGGGGCAGAAATCGGCCTTGCCGTCCTCCCCCCTCCAGTGCCAGTCCCAGGAGACTGAGCAGGGCACATTCCCCCCTCCCCCCACACATCCCTGGGACCAGGAAGCGGCCCACCCCCCCTCCCTTCTACCCCAGGAGCCCCGCTTGGCTGCTCCCGCCCCAGGGCTGCTCCGCCCTTGCCAACCGGCCGGTTCCCAGGGGATCCCGCTGCTGCTCCCCACCAGAACGGCGGCTGCCTGCCAAGTCCCTCCAGGCGGCTCTGCAACTCCGGATTTCAAGGTTGTTCCTGGGAGCCAGAAAGGGGAGGCCGAGGTCCGGCCTCTGGCTGGCTCACAACCAGGGAGGGTGGGTTTCAGCCGGGCAGCTGCCCAGGAGCCCCTTGGGCCTCCCTCCCTTCCCTGCGGCTCCCATGCCCGCGAGGGGGGCTTCCTCTGCCCCCAGCCCCTGCCCAACCACCGTGGCTTGAACGGTTCAACCCAAGAGGCGAGGCGGCTGTTCTGCGGCAAGGTGGGCAGCCAAACGCACCAAGGAAGGGATCTGGCTGCCAGCCACCAGCACAGCCAAGGACGAGGTGGCCCCACGGAGCCAGGAAGGGAAGGGACCCAGGGCCGGGCTTGGTGGTTTCCACCCGTGGGGCCCCGGCTCCTCTGGGGCTTGGGGGGGAGGCAGCCTTGAGATCTGCACTGAGGCCGGAGTCATCGCTTCCTGGGCAGCTTCTCGGGAGCCTCTGCCCGCCACCCCCAAGGCCCGGAGGCGGGGCACCCCCCCCCCCCCCCGAGGGAGGGAGCCTTGACCACCCCCACTTATCCCCCCCGTTGCAGATTCTCCCCCACTGTCTCCATCTCTGGGTGGCTCAGGAAGCACCACCAAGGTTACAAGCGAGTAAATACAAGCAAGGTTGCCTTTTAAATTTAGGCACCCATAAATTGGGCTCCTTTGCTTCTGCTCGATCAATCAATCAGAATAGAGCTGGAAGGGACCTTGGAGGTCTTCTAGTCCAACCCCCTGCTCAGGCAGGAGACCCCCAACCATTTCAGACAAGCGGCTG